TATTTTATGAAAGTATTATACAATATCACTTTAAATACGAGACTATATCTTTGTTCCATTTGACATTTTGACACTTCTTTCGATCACTTTGGATTTCCCTCAGTAGACTCCCATGTTTTAATATTATGTCCGAAGCACCACTGACGAGTCCATGAAAGACGTAAAGATGATGCAGTTAAATTAATTGTTTGGATCTACAGTATCTATTGCAAAATTTGTAATAAAAGACTTAAATGTCAGTTCATGAAATTATCTCTGCACTGTTAAACCAAAATTCAAGTAATATTTTACCTGCTCGTTAGTCAAGCCTTGTCCAATACAACTGTCCTTAGTCCTCTGAAGATTTCTTTCGTTTCTGCCCACAAGCACCAGTCGACATCCATACCTAGCTAAGTATACAGCCGAACATTGGCCTATTCCAGCACTGGCTCCCAGTGGATTGTCAGAATAAGAAGATGCTTCAGTAATCAACATAAGTGCGTGTTTTATAGAGGATTCTTAGCCAATTTAATGAAACTACGGTAAAATATGAACAAAAGGAAAACAATATACGGATATTCCTTTGGAAGTGTCAAGAGAATAACGACGTTCCGTTCTGTAAAGAAAATCGGAGATAGCTTCAAATATCAGAGCTAGTGAATTAATGGAAAGAACAGCAGCTTATTACAAATCAAGTTCAATTCGTTTTGTTCTCACATGTCTTGTAACTTTCAATATCTAAGAGACAATGAGTTAGATTTTAATCATGATTTGCAATGAAACCAGTCATGCATGTTGTAACAATATTTGTGTTATTTGATTTTGTAGATCACAAAAGTTTGCTGATGGATAAACGCATTCAGATATGTGGTTCAGCTTTAGTCGTCATGGGAAAAAAAATCGTATGCTGAGTTATCGGCTATTAATCAGGTCATCTGGACTTCCGTAGCATTACATGATAAAATTGAAATTTCATTTGTTCTATTTATATTGTCTTATGTAAACTAGACAAATCCTGCTACCAGCACAGACTCTTACCTATAGATAACACACAAATGATATACCAGTGATGTTGTAGAAATGCCAAAATTATTATTGAAAATATTCAATATTGAAAAGAGTTGTGAAAAGTGACTAAACAATGTGACAAATATATTTTTAATTTTCTGGATACAAATACAGAAAAAAATCGAACTTAGGACTATAGAACAATAGCAACATACAAAAGATAATATTCTTACTTCCAATGTAGAAAAATCATCGATGAAATACAACAAGACAGGTATATTAAGCGAACGACTGGAATAGAAATCGAATAAAAAACATAATGATTCAGTTTCATTAAGGCATCAATATTTTCTCTTATCTTTACATTCAAAGGAAATGGCATTTTCCCTACCTGTTTCGTCTTGAACAGAAAACATCAATTAGGAGATAGATCTATCACCAACAAAATTTGTTTGTCACAAACTTTTTGATATTAAATGTTTGTAAACACGTCCTAAAACTTTTTTTGCAAATGTACCTGGAGCATTTAATCTACAGGGATTAGCACATTGGGTTAGAGCAATACTCTTTATAAATAGTCAACTGTTATATAAAAAGACGAAGTTATCAAAATGGTTCATTTGTCTGTATTGATATATTTTTGAGAATATATTTATAATATATAATTTATTTTATTATAAGCTTGCGGTCCGGCATTCATCTCTACGTAATTATATAAAACCTCGATCGGGTACAGGGGTCAATTAATAGGACGAAATGTTTGTTTATCGAAACCACTATGTTAGATCCGTTCTGATTGTAGAATATATCAATTACGTCAAGAAATGAGCATATCTGTTATATAAATTGGAAAACATCTCCCAAAGTTATAACACAGGCTTTTAGACTCAGGTGATATATTACTCTGCCGTCACAAAGGTCAACAAACCGAGCATACTTGTACTTATCCAAGCTTAAAACTACACACACATCTATACACAAAATATTTCCATAAATTGTTAATACAACTGACAGTGAGTACCTGTAATTATGACAATTTTCCCTGTTAAAGAGTCCATTTTAGCAGCTATGTAGACACACGAAGACTCCGGGATTTTTTTTATCTATTTGTGTAAATAATACATTCTTACGTTGAATACGACCCTCAGTGACATGACCTGTCGTTGAGGGAGACACGTTTTTACCGGAAGTAAATTCCTTAACATCGTATTTTCTTCGGAAAAACCGTAAACAATGGAGAGTAATTGCATATCCCCGTTATTATTATTGCTTTCCTTTATTGACAAAGTGAAGTGACGAATGTTGTAAGAAATCATGCATCTATAACATGAACGTTTGCTCACATTTACTATCCCAAACATATCAACGTGAAAAAGAAATTATGAGATGTAAAAAAACCATAATTTAAAACCTATAAAAAGTATCTATATAACTTTGACATGAGTAATCATTGTTTGCATCCATTACACTATGGACATAACCGCATTTAATCCAATTAATAGAAATTGAAAAACACGTAGTTTACTACGGAAGTGCTGACCGATGCCAGTATTGATGAGGAAAACTTAACGAATTGCCTTTAGGGCCATCTTTCGTTTCAATATAGAAGCAAGTAGATTTAGTATTTTGGGAACTAAAATCAATTCTGAATCACTGAGTAACACTGAGATGTGCACGTTGTTATAATGCATTCGACGCTCTGCTAGGTGTTATTATAATTTTGGTACTAACTAACTCTATTCAATGGCTGTTAATACACTGATAACACATTAATGTTTTAACATAATAAGAACAATCTAGTATACTCAAGGAAGTGAATGTTACTCTCTAGGGGAATTGATATCGAAAGAAGATTTTAAACATCCTTATAAAAGGCACATTCATAACTCATGTTTCCAAGAATAATTCTGTTTTAAGAAAGATAAGATATAGTAAAGTCACACATTAAATAAAACTGCATCATATAGCTGTTTCGTCTTTCTAGGACACGTCAGTCATGCTAAAGGCCTAGATGGTAAGCCTATGGGGTGATTAAGGAAAATCCAAAGCGATTGAAAGAAATTTCAAAATCTAGATGGGGATGTGCATTTGCACCATAATGCAGTTAAATTCGTAATTTCTATATATCCTATAAATTAAGACGAGCGTCAACTGTATTTGTATCTTCTAAAACTTGCCACCTATCTTAGAAATGGCAATCGTATTGTCAATAAACAGTAAGTTTGGTACCTCTTTCAGTATGGACAGCAGATTATCTGATATTTCTGGTATCGATCACTTAGCAATATTTAATAATTATAGATTACAAATAATAATATATGGCTAAAATACTTTCAAAAAACAAGCCCCCGAAATATTGTGTGCATGCTATATATACTCAACAAAAAAAGAAAGGTTAACATGTTTCCTTGGCGAATACCTGTAAATGAGTGAAAACAAAATAACGTTTGTGCAATATTAGAAAATGGTAATGTTTTACATTACAAAATCCAAGGGGGTTACCGAAATCATTCAAGCGTGAAAGTCTGTATTAGCGAAAGAGCTGCACGATGTTTTCTGCGACTAACTTGTATCTTCGCTTGAATTTCATAAACATTCAAAATGGCAACTGTTCCTCAGATCATTAGGACTTAGAAATCACCGAATCTTGCTATCTTTCAACTTTATCATTATGCCCCGGCTGTCACAAGTACAGAGAGAAAGGGCTGTAGGCATGATGCAGGCTGGGGAGTCTTGCCGTCGAGTTGCACGGCATTTTGGTTGCAGTGCTAAGGCAATTTGCCAGTTGGTAAGTCGTTTAAACCAAACTGGGTCAACATTCGATCGTCCCCGAAGCGGCCGACCCCGTAAAACGACCGTCAGGGATGACCGTCGTATACGATTGATACACTTGCGCAATCGATTCGTAAACGCAGTAGAGACTACAAGGACATTGTTTGGGCGTCGTGTGTCTCCCCAAACAGTCCGCAACAGGTTGAGGGCCTACCAATTGAAAGCGCGGCGTCCCTACACTGGACCCAATTTGTTGCAACGTCACCGTAATAATCGGCGTAACTGGACCCGTGTTCACCGTCGTTGGGCCTTACGACAATGGAACAATGTTCTATTTTCAGATGAGTCCAGGTTTTGTCACGGTGACGGAAGGCGCAGAGTGTGGAGGCGACGAGGGGGGAACGTTTTGCGAACTATTGCATCGCAGAACGGGACCGCTTTGGCGGCGGAAGTGTAATGGTTTGGGGTGGTATTTGTGGGGGGACTCGTACCAGGCTTGTTGTGTTAAATGGCAATTTAACCGACATTCTATATCGGGACGAAATTTTAGGACCAGTGGTTCTGCCATTCTTAAGACGCCATGTCGTTGGCGCCATTTTTCAACAGGATAACGCACCAACGCACACCAGCCGCGACAGCATAACTTTCTTGCAGCAGAAGAACATGCAGGTGTTAGATTGGCCATCTAAATCACCTGATTTGTCACCGATTGAGCATGTCTGGGACGTTCTTGGGCGACGCGTGAGAGAACGTCAAAATCAGCCGTCAAACTTGCAGGAGCTAGCCCAAGACTTGATCGCTGAATGGAACATCTCTCCTCGAATTATCCGCCGGTTTACGAGTTCCATGCGACGACGCTGCAATGCTGTTTACTTTGCAAATATTAGGCCCTACCCATTACTAATGGTGTTACCTTTGAAATTGACCCCAACGTCCTTTACAGTCGAATAAAAACAACTGAACGCAAAGTTTTATAATGAACCATAACTGCAATTTTATCAGAATTGATCAATTACTTTATTCGTACATGATTGGTAAGGATTTATGAAGGAGTTAATTAATTATTCACAGAATAAAATAGTGTTACCTTTCTTTTTGTTTAGTATATACTGATAAGAACGGGTTCCAAGAAAAATGTCTTTAAAGTAGGAAGCTTGTGAAGTTTTGGGTATGATGTGTTCATCATTCCTTGTCCCGTATTCGACAGATTATCACATTTGAGCTTTTTAGGCTATTGTGACTTATTTCTGAAGTGTTTATTCATTAAATTGCAATACATTAGCGATACATATCAATTCAAAAGGAGCTGAGACATCAGTTTTCATCAAAGTTCACTTCTAGATGACATAGGTACCATCATATTTTGAGGAAAATCAAGGAAATATGGAAACCTAGTGTAAATGTCAATGTAATGTAATGTCAATGGAGTTATGTATCGATAACCTATTAATACATTAAATAAGCAGCTGGTTATACTGTAACTTGTATAATGGCGACAGTCCTCAAGGTCTCATCGACAGACTAACAAGGAGAGAGAAGCATGTGACTGACAAGGACGCCGCTATTTCATCAACACCCGCGTTGATCTTTGAAACGCTAGTGGAGTTTCTACAATTTGACAAGTCGTGCTGAAACGCCTCCAGTGCAATTTCTGTTTTACAAGAATCCACAGCTGCCCAAAACTCCATGTGTTCTCTCGATTCGTTTGCATATTGTTTGTAAAAATCCGCAATGTCACCGTGGAGGCATTTGTTATCGTTAATGAGCTCTTTGCATTCTCCTAGACAAGGTCCAAAGGCCTTACAACGTTCAAAAACGTCGATAGCTAAACGGATCGTATCCGGATGCGTTTCATTTTCGAATATTCTAAAAGTGCAACCATCGACTTCTTGTCCGTAGTGAAATTTGCAGATGTCTAATCCCTTCCAAGCAGTACAGTAGGGAAACTGAATGTTTTCAGCCGGGTGAAAGGTGAGGAAGCCGTAACACATTTCATCCGAAGTACCATCTCCCTTTAATGTTGTTCTGTCCTTGCCGATTGATCTGTAAGTACATGTGGTCTTCAGTTCATCCCCTGGTCGTAGTTCAATGGGATTCTCGAATCTGTAAAATATAATTTAATGTTAAATCATTGTTGTATTTGTTACCTTTTTCTACACTGCTTCAGTTGTTATGTCTTAATCGTTCATGTCTATAACAATCATGTCGAGACCGGATTTAGTTTATATTTTCACCATGCTCTTTACTGTTCAGATTTTCACGGTAGTCGGTTTAGAGTAAAAATTCTAAGGTTGTGCAGTTTAAGCGTGTGAACCATAGCTATTCTAATGACCTTGTCATTCTTTATGAAATAACTTCTACTCCTCATTAAGTTTTGAGGCCGTTGGTCAAAATGGAAAGTCAATTATGATGAAAAATACGTAATATAAGAAAATCACGAAATCTATTGAATTGATGGGACTATTGCCTAGATTTTCGTTTTTCTTTAGAACACTCCAGGTTTTCCTCAATCTCCCCAGAGGCTTCACAATTTAGGGCCTTAGCATCACTGACGAGCCCCTAGAAGTTCGAAACGGCTTTATGATGCAGTTTCATTTAGTGTGTGGCCGTTTTGTGTGTAAGACTTAATTTGTATTTAAAATGTTTTTCATTTGCATGTCTTTCGTACAATATTGTAAAACAAGATAACCATTGGTTACCGAATTTGTGGACAAGGCGTAGTTTTACGGGGTTCTGATCCCTTTCCGTTGGACAAGATTTTATTTTTCATAAAATATCAGTATAATACACGAAATTACACGTTTCACTGCCTCGGAATTCTTGTTTAAATCTGTGACCATATATACTTTTCCTTTTATACATTTAATGTATTTGTGAAGTATTTGGTAAAACAAATGACAGAAGGAACCTTAATCTTAATCAGTACATGATTCCTTTATTAAACACTCCAAGTAGAACATGGAACCACCCTAATCAGTATGAGTATCAGTATGATTGGACAACAGAAATTAGAGAGGATCTTTGGTTACAATAAAGAAATATAGTTCAACTGTAGCGGCTTAACGCTAATCACCTTATCCTTAACACTGTTGCATGCACACAAAATCAGTTCTAAAATAGCCATAATAGCAACTATTGTAATGGAAAAAGAGATACAACTGCACATATGATGTTCTACAAAGAGACTTTGATGATTGATTTGATAAACACTATTGTGTTATTCATAATCAGGAAGATGATAACGTATTCAGATTAAAATATGATATTTACGGTACATCATCAATCACTGCTTTATTAAGTGTATTAAAAGAATTATATCAATTTCACTAGTGTGTTGCATATTGAAAATTGACTTCCGGTTCAAAATGTTTTAAAAGACAATAAGTCAAATTATGCATCACACTTGTCGAAATTGGCATACTAAATTGGGATTACTGTGCCTCAATTCATATATCAAAAACTATTTACAAGTAGGAACAATCTAGCATGTGGACCGCTGTGGTGGACAAATTTACGCCTACAATTTCTCTTTAAATTATCATATTTAATTATCTTTAGTTTCAAACTGAGCAAAATTTCTGTTGAAAAAATAAACAAATAAACATTATTTTTTCATACCATAGTTCATTTCAGCTTCTTAAAAAAGAAGCAGTTTGATTGTTCACGTAGATGTCCGATATTTTTTTCTGTATTCTTTAGATTCTTTGCTGTATATTCCTGAGGCAGATCATTCAATTTGAATCTTATCTAAACAGTTTTGACCATGACATTCTGTACGCATATTTCCAATTTCATTTCAAATTATTTACTAGAATCTATCAAGAACACCAACAAGGTGGATATTTTTTGTTACATTTTGATCACAGAATATACGTCTATTGTATATCATTTTCAATTTTTCTTTATTTAGGTGTAGCATTAACTGTCATCAGCACAACTTTGGTTCTAATAACGGATGCAAACAGTTGAACATCTCATGAAATGAAAAAAAAAAAAAGGCTGAAGGGAAAACTGCATGTTTTCCTGAGTTATGACCCTGTGTCTTAGATAATTCAGGAAAACTATCACTTCACGCCAATTTTTATCTATTCATTAGCTTTGGAAGTCAGTTTTGGTCACGCAATACTTGACATCGTCCAAACCGTCATAATTATACCTAATAAAAAAGTTATTGGTAGCACTAAAATAACCTGTCACTGGTTGTTGCCTGGACATTTGTTTCGCTATAGCAAATCGCGTTTTCATTTTTTTTTCAGTTTTAGAAAAGATGAAAATGATCTTTTGAATGGTTTCTAACTAGTCAGAACCGATATTTTATACATTATAACAACTGCTTACTCATGAAGAACCGGGCTATCATAGCTGTACAGCTTGTCGTACGTCAAATCTCGTAATTTGACGCCACCCCTGTATTGCTCAATTCTTTGCTGACGACCTGAAACACATGATTTATGACCACATTCCAGCTTCTTTCTTTATTTTTTTCTTAATGGTATTGTGACTATTGTTACGAAATCATGATGCTTTTAAAAGTATGTAACAACAAAATGTCAGACATCACAAATATACAAATATGTTTCTGATATCAAAGTTTATATAATAAGACTATTGCTCGTTGTTCAACTGTCAACCCTGAAATAAAAGGTTTGTATATAATACGTTACGGGTTTTAACATCTTGCGATTTATTCAATTGTTATTTCCTGTTCATTCTTTAATTGAAATTTCTCCAAGAGATATATCTATATACTTTCATTAATTTTTTTTCTTAAATTTACTTTCTCATGCATCATTGGAATTACGTCATACCCAGGTAGTGCATGTGGTTGAGCGCTCTCGTTATATAGACGGTATCAGACAGCAATCGGGATGTACAATACTGGGTGCATGTGGACTCGACTGTGTATGAAGCCTCTCCTGGCGGGATTGCTAAGTAGTTCTGACCAATCATCATTATGGTGGCATCGTGCACACGACGATTAGATGTGTAATAGATGGTCATTCCGGAACTGTCCGTAAAGTCCGAGCGGAGGAGGGGGTTGTTCCAGTGAACCTAGTTAGAAAAAGGAAATGCACTCCAAAGGTTTGGCTGGATAAAATCATTTTTATTACGGAAAGCGATCGTGAAGAAGATATTACAATAAAATCACGGGAACAGTTCTGTATGCGATATACATCAAGTCCAAAATACATTATTTGAAATAAGCTGTAATGTGAAGTGGGTCCTAGACTAGATTTATGAATGGCATTTAGCAAACATTAAAAGTAAATTATAGTAAAACTATAATATCATTACCGTTCCAAACGTCACGTCCAATTTCATGACAAACTACATACCTTACAAGTTTGCATATCTTCTCCTGTGAATATTTACCATTTACAGGATATTTACAAAAGTCGCACCTGTCAATCGTACAACTTAATACAAATGTGAAATAAAGTACAACAACAGTCAAATAATAAATTATTATCGTGTTTAAACGTTTTAGCCATTAGGGAAAATAAAACGTGGTCAAAATGGGGAGATGTCCGAACCCCAAAACTCAATAAATGACACAATTTTTAAATATTTTATGGTTAAAAATGCCAGTACATTTTGTAGATTCTGCATAATGTTATTAATCACATAGATTACGTATCGTGCAGTAATTAATATTGGTGACCACAGTTTCCCAGCAGTCTACCACATTCACTCACATACACACTTACGATTGTGCGGAAGTGTTATATAATTTTAATCTTCAAATACAGTTTAAAAAAGTAAAATCTTCACCATCGATAGAATTATTTGCGTGAAAGACAGAAAGGCGACCTAAAGAAATTCGAAACTTTATCTAAGTGATTACGGATGCATTCATTCGTCTTTATAAACCAATACTGGTACCATGTTTATAATATGCGTCAGTTATGTAGTTAACTAAAAACATATTAAAGTGAATGATTTAGAAAACATATCCATTTCAGAAAAGCACTCGATGGAAAATACAGCCACAGAGAAAACAAATAAAGTGCGGATAGATGATACCATACTAGCATGCAGAATATTAAATGGTTTTGACAATCTAATCAACACGAGAAAAGTCTAGAAGTAACCCTACATGTAATCAAATCTATTGAACAGTCAACCAACAATGGAACTCTCTCCTTGAACATGTCAATTCTGTGCTTTATGTTTTCAGTTTTCAGTCCCATCCACGTGAAGAAATAATGGCACGGTTCAGAATATACAGGTGTACTTGTGTTGTTCTAAAATTAACAATTATAGTAAATTCAAGAAATTTATTGAATCGTGGGCTAGTGCGCATATGAGAAAATATTATTAAAATGACATGAATGACGTCAGTGAACAGTATCATTTTAGTTAGAACAAGATAGTATATATGTAATCAAGATTAAATTGATATATGGCTGTAGCTTTAAGTGTGAGTGATTTCCACTTATATGTAATGGGGTCGGACATTTCAACCCCGAGTTTGTACTATTTGTACAGAAGTGTGTTGATTCGGACCTTGACACGCACACTTTTGAGTTTATAAGTTATAGCATCCGTTCTGGTCCTATTGACCTCAATCTCAATAGGATAGAGATCCTCATCTCATTGTGATTATGAAGCAAACTCGTGTATCCGGTGTCAAATGCTTTCAGTAACAGTAATTCAAAAAATTCCGCGTTTCGGAGAATAGCGGAAATTTGCTATCCTATAGTTTCGGTCACGTACACATGTACGCAATGCGTGCAAAGCAGTGTACAGTATCTGACCAATCAGGAGACTGATTGGCGTGCCACGTGGAGTACTAGGGTACCGACGCGCTCGTGAGGGGTATATCGGGTATTCATTCTAGGCGCGGACTTCCAAAGCGTTGACTGCTATAGTTTCAGGATTCGGGTGAAAACGTATACAATGCACTTATATATAGTATAGAATATATAATTTACATATTTTCGCTTTTCAGTAAAGGTATTGAAGAAATATAAAGTGTGAAAGTATCTAACGACCGGTAGAAATACCATTGTAGACCATTAAAATGCAGGTGCTTGGTTCTCCTAAGGCTTGTTATACAATGGTAGAATTAGGGTAGCGAGAGGCTAGTGAGTGAGTAAGGGAATGTATATATATATATAAAGAGAGAGAGAGAATATGACATTTAAATGTCGGCTCTATCGTCCGCTCGGCTCACATGCATATGGTGGTTGTGTTTTTATGGGAGTAAGGTAGCATAGTAGTATATAAAGGATGTGTGATTCTGCCATGGTGGAAAAAATCAAACAGGTATGGGAGTGAGGTAGCATAGTAGTATATAAAGGATGTGTGATTCTGCCATGGTGGGTAAAATCAAACAGGTATGGGAGTGAGGTAGCATAGTAGTATATAAAGGATGTGTGATTCTGCCATGGTGGGTAAAATCAAACAGGTATGGGAGTGAGGTAGCATAGTAGTATATAAAGGATGTGTGATTCTGCCATGGTGGGTAAAATCAAACAGGTATGGGAGTGAGGTAGCATAGTAGTATATAAAGGATGTGTGATTCTGCCATGGTGGGTAAAATCAAACAGGTATGGGAGTGAGGTAGCATAGTAGTATATAAAGGATGTGTGATTCTGCCATGGTGGGTAAAATCAAACAGGTATGGGAGTGAGGTAGCATAGTAGTATATAAAGGATGTGTGATTCTGCCATGGTGGGTAAAATCAAACAGGTATGGGAGTGAGGTAGCATAGTAGTATATAAAGGATGTGTGATTCTGCCATGGTGGGTAAAATCAAACAGGTATGGGAGTGTAGGTAGTAAAGGATGTGTGTAGCCATGGTAGGTAAAATCAAACAGGTATGGGAGTGAGGTAGCATAGTAGTATATAAAGGATGTGTAATTTTGCCATGGTGGGTAAAATCAAACAGGTATGGGATAAGAGATCTCCACAAAATGTGATAACAATACCCTCGGTTAGGGAGGACTTTTCTTTAGCTCGATTGGTTGAGCGTCAGACTAGTAAGCCAGGGGTCCCAGGTTCGATACCTAACCGAGGCATTGAAATATATAATGACCTCTGTTACATATAATAAACACACTGCGTTCTTTGGATTCTGTTTTCTTTTCAATTTTGAAATTTTATCTGCATTATCTTATTTCAGCATTACCTGCATTGCAGCCTTTCTATAGCCTTTTTGTCCCATTCGGAAGCCAATGTCTTTATGGACACACTCTCCACTAAATCCTACCGCCCATATTCCAATCATTGTCAAACATTGTCGGTGGGGTCCCATTCCACAGGGTTCAGGAATGTTCATCGGAGTGTCAGTTATCTCTTTATCTACGTAAAAACACACGAACTAACTTCATTATCACATTTACCTTTGTATTTAGTACAGTATGTGAAACAAACATACTTATAGATATTTGCTTAGTTGTGATAAAATGTAACTTAAGAAACACGCATGGAATGAAAACATCCCATATGAATTAACCCGTTCTGTGCCAAAGCCGATTTTGAGTCGATGCAGTTGCATCCAAACTAAGCATGTTATTTTCATTATGTAGATATAACCGATTCATAAGTAGATATCTTACCTATATATTGGAATAATTAATGACGTCATATCCTCAGAAATGACGTCAATACAGATAAATAATGGCGTCATAAGTGTCTAGACATATGAAAAATGGCACTGTAACAAAACGTCAAATTTCTATCCCCCTTCCATCACCCACCCTCATTTATCCTTTTGGTCATTCTGGTACCAGGAATATGCCCGCTGTGAGTGTTCTGATCTACAGCCATGTACGGTTTTTATCTGTCATTCTGACATCAGGAACATGCCAGCTGGAAATGTTCTGATCTACAGCCATGTACGGTTTTTATCTGTCATTCTGACATCAGGAATATGCCCGCTGTGAGTGTTCTGATCTACAGCCATGTACGGTTTTTATCTGTCATTCTGACATCAGGAACATGCCAGCTGGAAATGTTCTGATCTACAGCCATGTACGGTTTTTATCTATCATTCTGACATCAGGAACATGCCAGCTGGAAATGTTCTGATCTAGAGCAATGTATGGTTTTTATTGGTCATTCTGACATCAGGAACATGCCAGCTGGGAATGTTCTGATCTAGAGCAATGTATGGTTTTTATCTATCATTCTGACATCAGGAACATGCCAGCTGGAAATGTTCTGATCCACAGCCATGTACGGTTTTTTATCTATCATTCTGACATCAGGAACATGCCAGCTGGAAATGTTCTGATCTAGAGCAATGTATGGTTTTTATCTATCATTCTGACATCAGGAACATGCCAGCTGGGAATGTTCTGATCTAGAGCCATGTACGGTTTTTATCTATCATTCTGACATCAGGAACATGCCAGCTGGGAGTGTTCTAATCTGGAGTCATGTATGGTTTTTATCGGTCATTCTAACACCAGAAACAAACCAGCTGGGAATGTTCTGATCTAGAGCAATGTATGGTTTTTATTGGTCATTCTGACATCAGGAACATGCCAGCTGGGAGTGTTCTGATCTAGAGCAATGTATGGTTTTTATTGGTCATTCTGACACTAGGAACATGCCAGCTGGGAATGTTCTGATCTAGAGCAATGTATGGTTTTTATTGGTCATTCTGACATCAGGAACATGCCAGCTGGGAATGTTCTGATCTAGAGCAATGTATGGTTTTTATCTATCATTCTGACATCAGGAACATGCCAGCTGGAAATGTTCTGATCTAGAGCAATGTATGGTTTTTATCTATCATTCTGACATCAGGAACATGCCAGCTGGGAATGTTCTGATCTAGAGCCATGTACGGTTTTTATCTATCATTCTGACATCAGGAACATGCCAGCTGGGAGTGTTCTAATCTGGAGTCATGTATGGTTTTTATCGGTCATTCTAACACCAGAAACAAACCAGCTGGGAATGTTCTGATCTAGAGCAATGTATGGTTTTTATTGGTCATTCTGACACCAGAAACAAACCAGCTGGGAATGTTCTGATCTAGAGCAATGTATGGTTTTTATTGGTCATTCTGACATCAGGAACATGCCAGCTGGGAATGTTCTGATCTAGAGCAATGTATGGTTTTTATTGGTCATTCTGACATCAGGAACATGCCAGCTGGGAATGTTCTGATCTAGAGCAATGTATGGTTTTTATTGGTCATTCTGACATCAGGAACATGCCAGCTGGGAATGTTCTGATCTAGAGCAATGTATGGTTTTTATTGGTCATTCTGACACTAGGAACATGCCAGCTGGGAGTGTTCTGATCTACAGCCATCACTTTAAAATGAGATTTCCTGAGAGGTATCAGAAAATGACGATATTCCAATGCAAGAAAATGGAAAACATGAACGGTGAAAGAACTTTACTACCACTAGCAGGGATTTTCATTCTATGGTTTCAAAAACACCGACAATTGCAGAATATAGGAACAAACAGCAGAAAAGTCAGAAGACGGTATGGTTTCAACAGATGTTTTTAAGGAACGGATTTCCACTGATTTTTAACTTTTCTTTACATTGTTACATAGTGTAGAAAACAGCAAAGTTCCAGCTCGCCACCGCGACCACTACTGTACACGTACGATTATTGCTTTGTTGATGTAATATTTTGTTATGTCAAGCTGAATTCACATCAAACCTACTTATAATTAAGTTTTAGTATGGACAAAATAATTGCCAAATTTTCATTTTTTTTGCAAGTAGCCTTGATTCAACATTCAATACTACTAACATCGTGGTTCATATGACCGTACCACTGACTTGTAGCGGATTCTCTCCATTGCATGTGAAGTTGTTCAACGTGAGCACTAACTTTAGAAGCTCTACCAGATCACAACCATCTATTTAAACAGTATACCATAAAAAAACAACGGTAGATTTACACTGACTGCACATGACAATCCTACATTTACAAAAAATAACAGAATTACTATTTCCGCACAGCATAAATCACAACAATCACTCATACAATATAGCACACCTGACAACATAGTGATCACAACAATAGGCACACATCACAAAACGTCTTTACACAATACAGTACACATCACATCAGCAAACGTCATTACACAATACCGTACACATCACAAAACGTCTTTACACAATACAGTACACATCACAAAACGTCTTTACACAATACATTACACATCACAAAACGACTTTACACAATACGGTACACATCACAAAACGTCTTTACACAATACAGTACACATCACAAAACGTCTTTATACAATACCGCACACATTACAAAACGTCATTACACAAAACCTCACACATTACAAAACGTCTTTACACAATACAGTACACATCACAAAACGTCTTTACACAATACAGTACACATCACAAAACGTCTTTACACAATACAGTACACATCACATCACAAAACGTCTTAACACAATACAGTACACATTACATCACAAAACGTCTTTACATAATACCGCACATATTACAAAACGTCTTTACACAATACTGTACACATCAGAAAATGTCTTTACACAATACCGCATACATTACAAAACGTCTTTACACAATACAGTACACATCACAAAGCGTCTTTACACAATACAGTACTCATCACAAAACGTCTTAACACAATACTGTACACATCACAAAATGTCTTTACACAATACAGTACACATCACAAAATGTCTTTACACAATTCAGTACACATCACAAAACGTCTTTACACAATACAGTACACATCACATCACAAAATGTCTTTACACAATACCGCACACATTGCAAAACGTCTTTACACAATACAGTACACATCACATAACAAAACTTCTTTACACAATACTGCACATATCACAAAACATCTTTACACAATACAGTACACATCACGAAACGTCTTTACACAATACAGTACACATCACCAAACGTCTTTACACAATACCGTACACATTACAAAACGTCTTTATACAATACAGTACACATCACACCACAAAACGTCTTTACACAATACAGTACACATCACATCACAAAACGTCTTTACACAATACAGTACACATCACAAAATGTCTTTACACAATACAGTACATATCACAAAACGTCTTTACACAATACTGTACATATTACAAAACGTCTTTACAAAATACAGTACACATCACATCACAAAACGTCTTTACATAATACCGCACATATTACAAAACGTCTTTACACAATACTGTACACATCAGAAAATGTCTTTACACAATACCGCATACATTACAAAACGTCTTTACACAATACAGTACACATCACAAAGCGTCTTTACACAATACAGTACTCATCACAAAACGTCTTAACACAATACTGTACACATCACAAAATGTCTTTACACAATACAGTACACATCACAAAATGTCTTTACACAATTCAGTACACATCACAAAACGTCTTTACACAATACAGTACACATCACATCACAAAATGTCTTTACACAATACCGCACACATTGCAAAACGTCTTTACACAATACAGTACACATCACATAACAAAACTTCTTTACACAATACTGCACATATCACAAAACATCTTTACACAATACAGTACACATCACGAAACGTCTTTACACAATACAGTACACATCACCAAACGTCTTTACACAATACCGTACACATTACAAAACGTCTTTATACAATACAGTACACATCACACCACAAAACGTCTTTACACAATCGAGTGCACATCACAAAACGTCTTTACACAATATCGCACACATTACAAAGTCTTTACACAATACAGTACACATCACAAAACGTCTTTACACAATACAGTACACATCACATCACAAAACGTCTTTACACAATACAGTACACATCACAAAATGTCTTTACACAATACAGTACATATCACAAAACGTCTTTACACAATACTGTACATATTACAAAACGTCTTTACAAAATACAGTACACATCACATCACAAAACGTCTTTACACAATCGAGTACACATCACAAAACGTCTTTACACAATATCGCACACATTACAAAGTCTTTACACAATACAGGACACATCATAAAACGTCTTTACACAATATCGCACACATTACAAAGTCTTTACACAATACAGTACACATCACAAAACGTCTTTACAAAATACAGCACATATTACAAAACGTCTTTACACAATACAGTGCACATCACATCACAAAACGTCTTTACACAATACAGTACACATCACAAAACGTCTTTACACAATACAGTACACATCACAAAACGTCTTTACACAATACAGTACACATCACAAAACATTCACGGTATAATACACATAAACACTTTCACAGTGTACGATGAGTATGACACACGAAACAACACATACACTCACAAATTATGACATCACTAACATATACATCATTTCCATGGAAAGACACACTTACTTGTTTCATCACATCCAAACAGGATCATGTGATGCATCACCTCCTCATTGTCAATAAATGGAACGGTAGCTACCATATGGTAGTCGTCATCACTTGGAAGTTCAAAGAGCATGCAATAATAATTGGTCGCAGTCGAGGGCACCTCCGTCTCTGGAAAACGCACAGTTATGTTCTGCATTCCTGAAATGTATAACACGTTTAGAATAAAGATGCATACTATGTTGCGGTACCTAACTACCACGATGTAACCAATGAAATTTATTTCAATTCTGAAAAAAAACCCATGTTATTATAGTTATTGTTAACAAGCATGCCTGAAATAACGTGACAATACATCTAATATAACACGTTAATACTGGTAACGTAGATGATTTCTGTCATCTAAAGACCACTATGAGTTGTGTTTCAGAAAGATGACAAACGTTAGTAATGCTGTATTTTGTCTCATAATAGTTAAAGATTAGAATACTCGAAATATACCATAGTATACTGGCTCCTAGTTTTACCGCGGGATAACATGACATACCGTCTTCATTTAAAGCGTCACATTGAAGTTTTTCAATATCACAATCCACCCATGAGTTAGCAGCCTGACAAGCAGGATCGGAGAAGGGGGTACAGACCCCGGGATGGCTGATACCGACTGTGACGGCAGGGGTGGTTCCTTTGCTCCACACACAATCCGGGTCTCCCAGCTCTTCCCCATTAGTCTTACCGTCCCCGTCAGAATCCTTCCTACACAAGGATGTAGTCCAGATCTATAGGAAATATACATTTATATGGTCATGGGTGATCTCTATATCACAGCCATGAATACGTGTTTAATGTGTGATGTGTGCTCTAACATTGTCACGTTCAGCACAGGTATCACTTCTCTACTTATGTTCAACCCTCTATGACTATTGTACTCTTGTCTTTTATTAATTTAACTAAACACCTGCAAAAAGGAAGTTATTAATGGAATCAAAGCTTAGCATTTGATTCTAGCACTTAAAAAACTCTAAACGCTTGTGTAGAGATCCACTACATGTATCAAAAAGATGCTGATAGAGATTATACATAGGAGCAGACAAAAGATTGAGCACTACATGCAATGACGAAAAATTCAATTATATAGATACAACAGAGAGTCTTGTTCTCATAGGAGCCGTATACACAGGCTATATCGTGACAAAGAGAAATTACCTACATGTCAACAGAATTCCAATTAAAACACAAAATTAAGAGCAAAGAAAGATTTACACGGATAATCCTGAAACAAATACGAAGAACATGATATCAACTTTCCCGTAAGGGTGAACGTCTTCTGCTTCTACGACATCTCCCGCCACGTAAATCCTTGTCAAACTTGTTTAAAGCGCATCATCGAAGACAAATAAAATATATCCCACTTATCTAACTACTCCAATGACTTCGCAGTTAATTCAATAATTTGATACATACATTACCAGCTTCATTGAAGTCCACACCGAAAGGGTTTCTGTCACCTCCTCCGAGGGGGTTAAGATGCCCGACACCCCTCCAGATATAGTTCACCTTGCATGGGTGTGGCACTTCTCCACCGCTAGGAATTTCATTCTGAAATCTAGGGAAGGCCAATACCGAACAACCACACAATGCTATGATGAAAACAATCATTTTGAACTAGTGATATGATGTGTACCCAAACTGATACATATATTTAACAGTGAGGGACACGACGGTTAAGTACATGCGCTGATTGGCTATAGGAACAGCGGATATCCGTGACAATAGCAATGTAATATTTTAGAACAACTTATACACGTGATTTAGGATATGTTTTATATCTGACATTTATACACATTATTTAGAATATATTTTATATCTGACATTTATACACATATTTAAGGATATGTTTTATATCTGACATTTATACACGTGATTTAGGATGTTTTATATCTGACATTTATACACGTGATTTAGGATATGTTTTATATGACATTTATACACATATTTTAGGATATGTTTTATATTAAACACGTGATTTAGGATATATTTTATATCTGACATTTATACACGTGATTTAGGATATGTTTTATATCTGACATTTATACACGTGATTTAGGATATGTTTTATATCTGACATTTATACACGTTATTTAGAATATATTTTATATCTGACATTTATACACGTTATTTAGGATATATTTTATATCTGACATTTAAACACGTTATTTAGGATATGTTTTATATCTGACATTTATACACGTGATTTAGGATGTTTTATATCTGACATTTATACACGTGATTTAGGATATGTTTTATATCTGACATTTAAACACGTGATTTAGGATATATTTTATATCTGACATTTATACACGTGATTTAGGATATGTTTTATATCTGACATTTAAACATGATAGGTTTTATATCTGACATTTATACGTGATATGTTTTATATCTGACATTTAAACACGTGATTTAGGATATATTTTATATCTGACATTTATACACGTGATTTAGGATATGTTTTATATCTGACATTAATGTACGTTATTTCGGATATGTTGTAGATCTGACATTAATGTACGTTATTTCGGATATGTTGTAGATCTGACATTAATGTACGTTATTTCGGATATGTTGTAGATCTGACATATAAACACGTTATTTAGGACCTGACATGTTGTAAGTTATTTAGGATCTACTGGAATGTAAAAGTGGTTCTATGTATAAGATGAAGAAGAACGAAAAAAAAAACCAATGAAGCATTTTGATTCTCAACCGGTGCTAACAAATCCTTCGGTGATTATCGCTGGCGACCTGAATTTCCACTTGGATGATAACACTAATGTTGATTCCCGACAGTTCGCCGGAATCCTTGACTCCCGGGGGATGATACAACATGTGACAGAAGCTACCCATTCACATGGTCATACACTAGATGTGATTATCACAAGGGGAAATACTTATCTAATCCACCGAGCAATTCTAGTGGCAGATCCATGTCTGAGCGACACTAAGGAAAACCTATCTGGTGATCATCTTGCTGTCTATGCCACACTAAATTGTGGTAAACCAAAACGTGCCAGAAAAGAGGTCAGCTTCCGGAAATTCCGCGAAATTTCTGTACCTGATTTCATCAAAGACATTCAGTCATCTTCAGTCCTTCAGACTACTGAGGGTGGAGTTGACTGTCTTGTTGAAGCATATAACTCTGGTATCGAGGCTCTGATCGAGAAGCATGCACCTCTTCAGACAAAGGTAATTACTGTCAGACCTAACGCGCCTTGGTACAACGAACAACTTCGTGATGCAAAACAATTGCAGAGGAAGGCGGAGAAACGTTGGCGAAAGACCAAACTAATCATCCATCGCCAGATATACAGAGAACATTGTCGGGCAGTCAGTTCACTACTCATTCAACGTAAGAAGGATTATTATTCAGGTAAAATCACAGAATGTGGATAGGATACACGACAGCTTTTTAGACTTAACGGAAACCTAATGGGACATACTGGTGAAATCGCCCTACCAAGCTGTTCATCTGAAAAAATCTTGTCCAACAAGTTCAGTGATTTTTTCCAGCATAAAAACACAATCAGGCAAAAGATTGATGTGGTGAACTCAACTTCCGACACTGGCGTCTCTGTCATGGATGCCGATATCCAATTCTCTGGTGAACCTTTGACGCAGTTCACTCCAACAACCAAAGAAGAATTGCGCAAGATCATTACAAACTCTCAATCGAAATCCTGTGAACTAGACCCGCTTCCCACAGTTTTACTGAAGCAATGTCTTGATGCACTGCTCCCCTTGATCACCTTAATCATGAATAAATCATTAACAGAGTCTAGGGTTCCATTGTGTTTCAAGAAGGCTAATGTAAGACCACTGCTGAAGAAGCCTGGACTGAACAAGGAAGAATTAAAGAACTACCGTCCAGTGTCAAATCTCCCTTTCTTATCCAAGATCTTGGAGAAGATTGTGTCCCAGCGACATGAGTGTAGAGCGGTACTTATCATGCTTGATCTGTCTGCTGCATTTGATGTCATTGACCATTGCACACTGTTCAAGTGTCTGGAGTACTCTTATGGGGTGACTGGTGATGCATTACGCTGGACCCAGTCTTACTTGAATGAACGACGACAGTGCGTTGCCATTGGATCAACTGTTTCAGACAGCAAAACCTTAGACTTCGGAGTTCCTCAGGGGTCTGTCCTGGGACCTAGAAAATACTGTCTTTATTCGAAACCAATCGGGTAAATTTGTCGTCGTCATAACCTTCAGTACCATTGTTATGCCGACGACACACAAATCTACATGGTTATCAGACCTCAAGACAACTGGGACATAATAGTAGCAAGTCTTGAAGCCTGTCTAAATGACATCAGTGCTTGGATGAACTCAAATATGCTCAGGCTCAATCAGGAAAAGACAGAACTGATCGTCTTTTCCCACAAGTGTCAACACACTAAAGGTCTCCAGTTAAAGGTCGGTGCACAAACTATTGAGGCCGTCCAAGCTGTGAGAAACCTTGGTGTACACTTTGATAGCTCTCCAAATCAGAAATATTGGGTGTATCCGTCAGTTCATCACCACAGATGCATGCAAGACATTGGTACATTCTCTTGTTACTTCTAGGTTAGACTGGTAACGCGTTACTCGTTGGTGTATCTGATACACTAATGAGCCGCCTGCAGAGGGTACAGAACACCGCAGCACGCCTAGTTACCCGTACTCGAAAGAGGGGCCACATTACACCAGTCCTTTACTTATTGCATTGGCTGCCCGTGCGATTCCGGTCACAGTACAAGATTTTGATATATACATACAAGGCAAAAAATGGAACGGCTCCTGAATATTTGCAGGAACTTGTCACCGTTTATAAGCCGTCACGATCACTACGATCGGAGACAGAATCATTGTTGTGCGTTCCAAACTTTCGTACTGTGACTTATGGTAACCGGTGCTTTGGAAAGGTAGCGGCCACTTTGTGGAACAGCTCACCATCTGCTACCAGAAGGTTAAAATCCCTGGCCAAATTCAAGAGGGATATTATAACCCACCTGTTTACGTCTGCATTTTCGACTCTCACGCAGACGTTCTGTATATACATACTATCACCACTACTTACTTGATTAGGTTACTGTGTTACATATGTTGATTACTGTTTTATACATGTTCTATAAATTTGTAAGATTATTATGTAATTGTGAAGCGCATTAGAGTATTTTTTCAAAATAGATAGTGCGCTATATAAATGTTGTATATTATTATTATATTATTTTTAAAAGTCACCATTTATCGAAACAAATGGTCAACCACTGAAGTCTTTGCTGCTTTATTCACAGCTAAAGAAGTAAAGTGGAAATACACAGACCCAATACAAAACTAGGTTTAGCGTGTCCTTATCTATCCCAAAGGTCACATTACGAAACTTAACCCCTAAATTTTCGAAATCATTGACCATTCTGAAATGTCACGTGGTATGCTACATGAATGACAAGGCCATAATCTCTTCACGCAGACTTACAGTTGTCTGTCCATCAGCACCTTCGTGTCGTGTCACCTAATAAGGTAAACTGGAACATATGCTAATGAAAGAGTGTTGTAAACTATTACGAAACAAATATGATTTTCTATTCAATTAAGAACATTTTAGTATGTTAATGACTTACTGCTCTGAAATGCATTTTATTAACTGTCATATTTATAATTTTTAGGTATCTTGTGTAAATTATTTCATGATTAATATTTGCAACTGGTTAAATTCAAACGATGTGATGGATATGATAAACGTTTATAAAATTTCTCAGCAGTTTAAATTTCCTCTTTCCATAACCTTAGAAATCCAAAATGCAGTTGCAGTCACTTCTTGTCCTCATCGGCTGCTGCACGGCATTTGCGTGAGTATTACATTAGATAATACCTCTTTGTATTTGTTACAACTTGTTGACTTATCTTGTTACCTTACTAACACAAATACATTTGTATATCGAAAAAAGTTAAGCATTTTAATAAAGATAATAATCACATCATAGAAGATTTCACGAAATTCTCCAGCCAAAGCAAAGGAAAATCCACGACCAATTTCACTAATTCACTTAAGGAATGAAAATAGACTATTTATTACAATTTTGCCACTGAAATATAGAGAAATATCTAATTAATTTCACCAGTGAAAAATAACACTTTTGCAGACTTACACCAATGAAAAGAGAGAACACTAATCATCGTACCAAACTGACAAAACATGAAACCGCACCCATTTTATACCTGTTCTAAATATGCCTGTAATTTGGTAATTTTGCTTGTGAAAATATAATAGATAGTGAAAAGAATATTCAATAATTTCTCCAGTAATAACAAATATATATCACTCGTGAGTCAAATATTTTTTTGTATCTTTCACGTGCGCTATATTAGACACCTGTGAGATATATTTGTTATAACTGGAAAAACTATTAAATATCCTCTCTCTAAATATATATCACTCGCAATTTTGTTTGAAATTAAATAAGTTTTGATTGGTAGGGCAAGAAGAATGCGCACCAATTTCTATTTAGCTTTCCTGGTCATTAGAGATGAAACCTCGCATTTGACTTTAAGATATTTCTGTCCTAATTTTTCATAGGAACAATTAACTGGATCCCATCACAAAACGAATTTATGTGGTGATTCAAGTCCTCTGTGTATTTCTATT